AGGTCCAGTTGCTTTGTTCTTTTTGGAATACATATATCCAGCTCCACTTATTGCCCTCTTCCGCTCTATGAGAAGTCTTGGGACGCTATATTTGCCTAATGGAACTTCTGCGGACGTGCAAATCCTACATTCACATTGGCAAAACGAGGTTGTATAACTTATATAATACTACATCTAGACTAGTTCGGAGGAATCGTTCATAGCATAGCCATGTTTACCTAAACCAATACGCTATGAAGTGCGATGCTTGTGTATCCATTAGAGAAGGAGTTTTATCGGGTAATTTAAAGCTTATATTCTATTACAAATTTCACTTAGATGAGTTTCGTCATCTTTTTAAACTTTAAATATTGTCTAAACTTCACCTAAACGATCTCTTAGTGAACCTTTTGTTTATATGGATGGTAATGTCAGGTCTTGCTACAAAATGAATGCGTTATCTCTTTTGAGTACGGGTTCGAAGTTTGTTTCCTCCTGTCTGAAAGAGTGGTGCAGATTTGGGCGCGCAAACTTGTGAGTGTCGTTTCTATTTGAGTGTTTATGCACATTTTTTCTCCCCATATTAGTCGTTATTTTGTGGCAATGATAATTGCCCTTCTGAGTCTTTACTTATATCTGTACAATCTGCTGTGAGGTTATATGTATCATTAAATGTTAGCTCTCGCATGTGATTTTTTTCGTTACAACCCGATGTTGGCTTCGGTATTGTCTTTTGGTATTACTTTACATCACATGATTGGCTTTTAGTATTCAACAGTCGAAAGATGACGTGGATGTTTGTATTCAAAATTTGTGTGATTTGTTTATCAAGATTATTGTTGGTGAAGGACGAATAGATATCCTCAACAAGCTGATAGCTGAGCTGGCAAAGGTGGATCAGTTTTTAATCGTCTAATATGGTTTGCTAGATTTTTAACGACGATGACTTTTCAACGAAATTGGTAGACATTTTGTGGCTTTTGGGTAAGTCTTTATTTCGGTGAGAATTTCTCCGGCTTAGATGTCGCAATGGCTGACGTAAATGATGCACAAGCAAGGGATCGCTTTTTGCAGATTCTTTCCGTGTGCAAGGGTTCAACTGATTCGGCACTTTTAATGGAGCGTCTATCAGATGAAACGCTTGAACAAATATCCTTGATTAGTTCTCATATGCAGACTCGAACTCGTTATGTGCGGATAAAGACCAGACTTTTTTACAAACAACAAAAGTTCAATCTTCTTCGAGAGGAGAGTGAGGGCTATGCTAAACTGATTGTTGATTTGAGCAACACCCCTGTGGGTTCGGCAGAAGTTTGTATCACCCATATTCGATCTCTCATCGGTTACTTTGACCTTGATCCCAACCGTGTACTTGATATTATTTTGGATGTCTTTGAGATTCGCCGGAACGCGTTTTCTCTCTTTATTGAGTTGCTTACTTTGTATCAGCCTGATAAGACTGATTTAACGCATATTTTGGGACACAAATTTCACTTCTATCAGGTAAAGACTTTGTTAATCTGCTTCAACAATCGAGCTTACAGGAAAGAGACAGCATCACACCGGAGTCTCTACATCGTCTTGCTGCACTCCTAGTTTCCTACAACTTGGTTGATGTAGACGTCCTTTTTGCTCATGTATGTCTACGCTTTTTATCCTCTAGGTGCATGGTTGCAATCTCTTTCCTCCATCTTTTCCTCAATGGTTCGTTAACATACTGCCCATCGTTTTCTGTAGGAAGCAAGTGAAGCGTACCTTATTTTGCGTTAACTATTGTAATTGCTGTAGGGATTCTGGTTTTTAATTCCGGGCGCTAACGCAATTCTCAATTAAATTGTGTGACCAATATAGACTTTACTATTTCTCTTACAAAGAGTGGGATTCACATCCTATTTTTGGAATTCGTTGATAATTTCATGCTGTGACAATTACTGCAAATGCACCTGTAGAAACTACATACTCTAAAAATAAAAGGTGTAGAGCCTCTCGACACATCACAAATGCGATCTGTAGTTACCCCGTTCTCCCATTTTTCTCGATTATACTTCGGCTCTACTTGTCTTTGCTTATTTAGGCACCGGTATGCTACCCTTCTTTTGCAGTTGCAGCCCTCAGATGCAACTATTCATTCGGGTCGTCTGAAGAGCATTCGTGAAGCAAAATCTTGGAGACCGGTCATCCACCCGTCTGGTTCCGCTATACACGGGAGTTTGGACAACTTCATCGCGACTGGTGGTGTAGCTCCGGCAAGTGCCGGTACAAGTACTGGTGGTGGTTCAGGAAGTCTTCTAGGTGATCCTAATCGACCGCTTGGTGGAGGGACTGAAACAGATCATTGGAATGGTCTCAATGGTGGAGGTAGCAGGCGAGGCGGTACTTCAGAGATTAATGATGACTCGGACGACAAGAAAGATATTTGGTTGCCTGAAAACGACGTGGATGTCGAAGATTCTGGGGAGTTTCAGGTATCAATGGGACTAAGTATAGCGACAATGGGGAATGTTTGCTCTAGCTTAGAAAAAATCACTTTTTATTGCAGGATGTGCTGTATGCGAGGTCTCATGTTGTTATCAATATTACATTTCCCTTTTTAGTTTGTTAACAACCAGAAATTGGATCTCTGTACGGCCTTAGCCAATTCTGGTGATTGGAAGGCTGCTCAAAATATTCTTGATCGATTTCCTGGTCACTGGGTCGGTTCCTATGCGCCACTCAACAGGGCCATATGCAACCTAGTTCACTTTTTAATCGACCAACTTTACGAAAGGTGATTTCTCTCAGATTTTAGTAATAAATTTGAATGGAACTCATTTTATTCATTTATTGAATACTATTTCAGCAAATCCACCTTGCCTCCATCTATGCTGAAGAAACGGAAGAGACCAACGCCACCAGAGTTGTTTATGAATCAGGACGATGCCAAAAGGTTGACCGTACAGCAAGCAACCACCTTTAGCAATTTGGGGCGTCACATTTTGCCTATTGTTGGCTACCTTGGTCCCTTTGTTTCCAGTGACGTGACACTTATCGTTAAGCTTTGTCGTATTTGTTCAGTCTATGTTTCTGATTTGGTGAGTT